CTTTTACTTTCTTAAATATTCAGGTTTGAGGTTTATTAACATTTTGGATTGACCAAGAGCATTGTAATTGTTCAGTAATGAAATTCATCCTCAAAAATACAACTTGCCTAATAATTGTGCACACCAATTTGCACTTACCCTGGGGCAGATGACAAGGCTGCGTGTTGCAGCTCCCAAGCATGGTTGGTATCTGTGGCTGGATGTCTTGGCACATCTCATGGTTGTAGAATTTGGAATTACCATCAGCACAGATGACTTGGCGGGTTCGGATGCCAGAACCGCAGCTTTTTGAGCACTTGATCAAAAAGTATTGATAAGTATTAAAACAATGGATAATCAGATGAGGAGCAAAGAATCAACGAAAAGTCAGAGGCCTTATGGGTGAAGTGTCAAGGAACAAGTTTGCAAATACTGTTTGGAAGTTTCCCAGTCTGGCACCCTCCAGGCTTCCTGCAGCCATTCTGGCTTGGAATTCTGAGAGTTGCCATCCCAACACATCCGAAGTGTGGCCAATCAGGGAAGACTGGGAAAGAAGAAAGACCTAACAGGAATAGTTATTTCCAGGTCAATTAGTAGGACTGATCAATAGGGCCCAGAGATAGTCCAGAGGTTCTGCAGGCAATTGTTCTTAGAGGCAGTTACAACTAAGTCACTTTATAGTTTCATTTCCAGAAGATAAGATAATGTAAGCATCACCATCATGTCCCAGAAAGCAACTGATTAAGATATCTATGCTGCGCCTATGGCCTAACTTTTTCCTACTGGTGTCAGCCCTCCCAGGTAGACCAGACAGGAAACACAACCAGATGAGCTGCCTCTACTTTATTGTTAGGCTACATTAACAGAATCCTGCAAGTCTGAAAGTATAAATCTTCCACCATCCTTTTTCACCATCTGATCAGTTAGGGCGGGTCCTTTAAAGTTTTTTTCTCAGCCCATTTCTCAGCTGCGAGCTCCTCCCCCTTTTATCTGATCGTTCCCTAGGCAGCATCTCTTCCCCCCGTCTTCCAAGGTCATTCTCACATTCCATTACATCTGGCTATTAAGAGTGGTGACCTCCTTCTTGTGGCTATTTTCATCATCCCAGGAGATCAACAAACATTGTATGGATGCAAATGGGTCTTTGTAAGAATCTGAAAGTGGAAGCGGGGAAAGGACAAGGAGCAATGGGCAAATATGTGTCATACTCACCAATCCCCAGTCTCCAATGTGCCAACCAATCTCCTGTATACAATTCTGCCCAATACAGGGCTGGGTGTGCCGAGGTTTTGGTTCTTTCATGCAAGCAACATCTAGAATCTTTGAGCCCTGCTCGACCTGGCAGCTTACAGTCCGGGTTTGAATACCTTCACCACAGCTTACTGAACACTGTAAAAAAAGAATCTGGTCACTGCATGACATACATTTCTCTGATGCTGATTTGTTCTGCATGCTCTGCAGTCTGAATAAAGATCCATTTTCCGTGTTCAAGTTTTCAACATTTAATTGAAATGCTGTGGGATCAGGAAGAACTTTCCAGCATGTGAGAAGTTCCAGAGATTTTGCCATGGAGTTTGATTTCCTTCAGAGGAGAAATGCAATTGTAGCTTGTTACTTTATTCTATAAATTTTAAGTTATAGCCATTTTTTAGAATTTGTTTTTTCCCCCCTTTCTCTTTTATTTTTCTGGTTTTTATCATTTTAAGTTTAAGGATTGTTCCACTTAAATTTTTTAGGATATTTGGTCTTTTGTGTATATTTTGTATTTTCTTCTAAATTTAAATACATGTTTTTAAAAAGTTAAATCCAGTTAAATGATATTTGAACATTTATGTACTTTATTTATGTACTTTTATTTATTTGTTAGATTTATAGCCTATTTTTCCTCCAGGAGGTATATAAAATGATCTTTCCTCTATTTTCCCACAAAAACAATCTTGTGAGGTAAGTTGGGCTGAGAGAAAGTGACTGGCGTAAGATCACACTGAGCTTTCATATCTGTGGTAGTTTTGAACTTGGGCCCCCATGGTCCTAGACTAGACCTTAACTACCACTCCACTCTCTTCCTGTATTTAATCTCTCTCTGTACTTGTAGTATAGGCACACACAGAGTTATGATGAGCCCCAATGTTACCAAATTCTGTCCTGTTACAAGTAGTCTTCATTTAGTGACCGTTTACAGTTACAACAGTGTTGGAAAAGTAACTTTATGACCAATCCTCGCATTTATGACCTTCACAAGTCTGTAAACCAAAGGAAAGCTGAAGTAAGATCATTAGCAGAGTCGTGGTTTCGCTTAGCGACTGTTTTGCTTAACAACTGAGTTGCCACTCCCAATTGTGGTCACTAAGTCAGGACTACCTGTACTTCCAACTGTTTACTGAGTGCTAAAATCATGCAAGGGAAATCAGGATGTCCTGAATGGGCCCTGGTGCTAGATTATCTTCTCCTCCCCAAGATGCAGAGGAAACTGGGCCAATCCTGCCTCAGAACAGATATTGAGAAAGAACTCACCTCAGACCAAGGACCCGTGACCCATGTTGCACAGCGCCGCTGGCTGCAAGGCTGTGTGCTGCGTGGCTTCTCTGTTAAGGATGCGCATTCGATATCATCCACAGCATCCTGAAAATGATGTCCATTGTAGGAGGCACAATAAACTGAACGGCTTTGAATGCCCCCTCCGCAGGTGGCAGAGCAATCTCCCCAGTCCCCAGTTTTCCAGCTAAAAATAAAAAAATTTCAAATAACTCTCAAGGAACCAAGAAATGACTGATGTCACAAGAAAGCTTCCAGGAACAAAAGTCTCTCGCTATTAGTTCCTGGGATAAGCTTTCTTGGCCTCAGCTTTTATCCAGCTAGTAAGCAAGGGTTAGGAAAAAGACATCTGAAATGCAGGAATTCATAGTAAAAGCCAGGAATTCAAAACAAGGGCCTAATGGAAATTCCTAGCAGCATTAAAAATAACAGGCGTGCCAACCTAAGGAAAGGAAGGGGATGAAAGGAATAAAAAAGACAATTTGAGATGAAGTATTAATGGATGCCTCAGTTATGGAAATGTTTAGAAAGGGAAGAAGTTTTTCTCCAGGAGAGAGTAGTAGAATGTCACTATTTTTAAGTGGTTGCAGCACCAACAGCTACATTAAGACAATCCCCAGATTCTGAATGATGAATACCATTATTGTGTGATCGGTCTATATTAGGCAGATGCTAAGCACATTTAAAAATATATTAGATGGATTTTGCACCTGCAGGGTCCCAATATCTAAATGTCCCCCAGGTCTAAAAGTAGCTGGAGAATTTTTTTTTTTCAATTTAAAAATGTGCCTGTGAAAAATCTTGTACATTTACACCTTCCACTACTCCCCTCAATGTGGTCCATGGAATTTGGGATGGATAGGTGCCATGGACCACATTGGGTGCCACGGATGGGTGCCATGGATCACATTGGGAGTTCTCCAGGGTCTAGCCTGGGGCTATATTTTAATAAAATATGAATTAATCAGATTTCGATACTCCAGAAACATGCTTCTCTCTCTCTCTGCATTGACATAAAACTCCTCTTTTAACTCGACTCCCCTAAATGTGAGTCAAGCTTTACCCAGCTGAAGGGACCAATGCTGCAAATGAGAGTAGCAAGGACCACAGTCAGAAGAAGCAAAGGCTGGGCTTGGATCAAAATGCCAGGCAGTCAAGCAGCCAACTAAAGCTGTCGTTTCCAACAGAAACTGCATAAATAGCCTCAACTATCTTGGCGCAGCATACAGACCAATAGGATGCTGTGTGAAGAGTGACTAAGATTGGAGCACGGCATCTCCGAGGAAGTCCTTTTCTAAAAATAACTTAGCTGGCGGCAGGCTAATCTAGGCAGTTTCTTCATTATGGACAGAGAAGGAAACAGACTGCAAATAAGGAACAGTGGCTGAAAAATTATCTCAGCCTTATATTCCAGGAGGAATTTCACTACTTACTGCCTTTACAGTTACGTATTATTTTATGTTGCCATGGAACAATATTCAGTGTAACGAAATAAATCTCCCTCCACTCCCTGCAAATGATACTGTCTTTCTCATTCCTGTGAATATATCACTCTTTTCAGCACTTAGTGGCTTCTTACACAAAACCATATCTTCACTTCCCCAAACAATATTCATAATTATTCTCACTTCCCCCGACCCCCTTGAGCTGGTCAGCCTCTCTGGTCAGTTAGCTCCAGCTGCTGAAAAAAGACATGTAGCCAACTTCCTGTTTTCTTCCTTATTCTTCCCTTGCCTCATCTTTTTGGGGAAAACAATAAAGCCCCAACTGGTTATTGCTCAGGGGAAAATGCCAAGCATACTTCAGAGCAACTCTGAAGAAGTAGGGGTGGTGGCAAGTGCAATGGGATCTTGCCAAATTACAGGATGAAAAAAATCAGGGTGGGACTGGGACAGGATGGAAGTTCCCGTCAATGGGAGACTGACTGCCCAATCTTTACAGGATTTCCTTTGGAGGAGGATCCAAGCTGATTGTTAATTGGCCCAGCTTCCAAGTCCTACTGGAACCTCATGACATCATAGGATACTGTGATGGAATGGAATCATGAAGGCCAGACTCAGGGAGAAAAACGTTTTCTTTC